GATACAACCATCACAAAACAAGAGACCCGAGAACTAGAAAGGCGAGGCTTCACCACCCATTTATCCCTCTGCCTTTCAACCAGCACCATATATGATTATCGGCCAGGCTGGCACAATTAACTAACTCAGTGTGTAAAGTTAAATGCTTCATCATTGCTACACTATACCCTGACTGGCTCATCTCCTCCTCGCGACCCTTCCGTAAGGGGATGTCCATTTGCCTACAGATGGACGTATTGGCTTTCTGTTCAATAAGTCTGACACATTTTTTCCCGTAACATTGATAGCCCCCACAGTGTCACAGCCCTCTTCCCACATCCTTTCTGGGTTTCCGGTTTCCATCTAGCATTCTTTCCTATCCATTCCTGCCTTCTGAGCATGATCCCTGTGCAAACACTGCCCTTGTTATCGCCTCACATTGATAGAACAATCTCAGGGTTTGTTCTAAGGAGTGTGGACCTCCCTGGTGATTGATCACTGTATAAACCTGATCATTGTGGATGGAAAGTTGGGTTACAAGGGTCAGTTCAGTCCCAGGCTGAACGTGTGGCTGAAGGCCATAGGCTTGAGTTTCTACCTGTCTTTATCTGACCAATAGGAATCCAAGATGTCAGCGATTTCTGTTTCTTTCTGTCAACAATTCCATCTTCCACCAGCTGGTATTTCCATGGATTTTCCCTTTCAGGGCTGTGTTTAAGGACATGTGATGAGGAAGGCTGGAGTCCCAGAGTGATGCAAATGCTTGACCCATTTGGCTGCTAAACACCAAAGTGGGTAGCCTCGGCTTCTGAAAAATCTCACAATTGAAAACCCTCGGGAGACCAGTTCTTCTCTGACACACATGGGGTCGCCATGAATCGAAAGCGATTCTCTGACAACTGGTTCCAGCTAATAAACTCCTGCCAGGGAAATGAACAAGCACCCCCAGTGAATTCTAGCTGCTTTCCCCTTTGGAGATCTATAGTCTGCATATATTTTATTGCGTGGGGGGGGGCATAATCACACCAATGCAGAGGCCTGGGGGGAACAAATCGTAAAAAGTGCAAGGTGCTATGGGATTGGCAAGCAGAGGTTTTGCCTTCTGCTGCTGCTCGTTACTATTCGCTAAGGTCCAGCCCGGCCTGCCTCGCTTTCTACTCCAAGTGCACAACACTTGGACTGAGTCGAGAACTAAGACAAAATTTGACATCCTTGAGTTTTGCCTGCTATTGACCTTGACCCTGATTGGCTGTATATTCTTGTATCGCTCTTCCCCACGGTTTTCAGTAGGATGGTTCAAGATTAAGAGGGGATGGCCCCCAGTATGCTGGTGCAGTCCCAGCTACCAGAGGCTGGGATTTCACAAAGCAGTTCATTCTCTAGGGCCTGCCTTACCGCGGAGCCTAAGCAGCACTTCATCTGCAGTTAGGAATGCACAAATAAACAGTCGTCAGGATCCGCTTAACCCAGCTGTACAAAAGGTTGCTCTTGCCCAGGGCAGCCCACTCACCCCGAAATACCATTCTTGGTGTGCACAAAGGGCGCCAGATGGTCTTATTACTTCAAGATGTCCCCGTTGACCTAATCACCTAGGGAAGCACATTCCAGAGGTGTCGACAAGCCCTCTTCTGCCAGTAATAGAGAATGAATAGGTATGTGTACAGGCCAGAAGTTCCATCGGGGCCTGCTCTCACATCCCTGGCCCTTGCACTCAGGGTTATAAATTTACAAGACAATTTAGACTACAGCCAAATGAAAGCGGTAAAAAAAAAAAGAAGAAGAAGAAAATCAAGTGTCACCTTCCATAAAGGTGAGTGAGTCCTGGAGGGATCATTGTCGTCACTCGGGCAGCTGTCCAGGCTGGTCCTTTCAGGCTCTCATACCTCTCG